AAGAAAAAAAAAACACTATAATAAAACTAAGAAAGAATAAAAAAGTGTTGTTATTTTTATTATACCATATTGCACAGTATGACACCTCTTCATTTAATAAAAATGGTATAAGCATGTCTTTCAAAGGTATTATTTTTCACAACTATGTACAAAGAATTTGAACAAGTACTAGTCTGCCAGTACATCACCCCTAGACTGCTGGGGAGAAAGCAAAGACAAGAGCTCTACTCTTAAGCAGCAAAAGCGCAAGTGCAGGTTCTTAATTGCATGTCATGTATAAAAAAGAGGAACTACTGTAAGCTCCTAAAATAGCTAAGTATTTTCGTGAATCTCTCTTATGAAAAACCTGTATGCAGTTGGTGGCAGGAAAATACATACAGCACCATAACTTGATGTGCATATAATTAAACTTTTCCCACATGCTTCATTATTTCAATTATTATACTTCCATATAATGCTGGAATTATTATTATGTTATGGAACCTTCACACTTTAAAGTTCATGGAAACAAAACACAGCAACACAATATTAGACATCCCAACGGTATAAACATTTTCTGAAAACAAACCGCCTCAGACTGGAGAGGAAACACTGCTTTGTAATTGACTCAGGTCGGGCGTCAGCTAAATTAATAATGACAATAAGAAACAGCAAAAGGAAGATGAAGAATAAGGCTATTCCTCGTGTGTATTACAAATCCCTATATTTACTTATATCCAGGAAATGATACACTGGCTGGTGAGAAGGTGGAGCTGAGGAGACTCGATGAAAAAATAATTCCATAGTGAGAAACCACAGCTCAAGCACAGTAACTAAGAGGAAATGTCTTCTATAAACTAGCCAGGTGTTTCTTTTTCACAGAGACAGAGCACATCACTCAGCTGAATTCATGCAGACCCATATAATAAATAATAATCAAATTAATTTTACAGTCATTGAAAATCAATTCAAATTACTTTTAAATTCATTAAATAATTCTTCACTTTATTGCCAAGAAATACTTAAAAGTACAGGTATCTCTTTTGTTCACATTATTATAGTATGGAAGCCTTGATATCAAGGAACATTTTGAAGAACATTTTCAATTATCAGTTATATTCTTAACTTCATAATTGCAAAGACTCATTCTTACACAAGACACTCATTACAGAAAACAGATTGCATTTTTTTGGTAAATGATTACGTAACATAATTAAAGCTTTTTTTGCTTTTGCGACAGGACGAATCTTGTGTAACACAGTGTTGCACAGTCTGCTCTCAGCGGCGGTGCGCATTCTGCCATCCTGAACGGGCAGAGGAACACCAGTGTAGACTTACCTATTGATATGTGTCTTGAGGTTCCAAAGAATGTGTACAGCAGAACTGGATAAAAAGAAGAATAAAGGCCATACACTGGAGGCACAGCAGCCAGCAACGCGTAGGCCAGGCCTGAAACGGAGAAGGCCACAGCATTAGAAACTCCTCAAGCTGGAGCAGAGAAAGAGCAAACCCAGAACCTCAAATAACTCCATCAGGGACCATCAGGGACGCTTCGGTCAAGGAAAGACGTTCAGGGCAGGAGCTGCTGGACGGCTGGGAGGTCGCTAGGGAAACGCACAGATCCGTTCTGGGCCAGTCTTGGCCGGGATCTCCCGAGGACTCGTGTCACTGGCTGAGCCCACCCGAGGTTGGGTGGAGCGGAGCCAGCCAGGGAAATCACGGGCAGGGCGCACACCGGTGCCCACTCGGCCTACGAGCGCCCGAGGGACTGGGAGCTGCCAGCGAGAGATGCGCCCGTTGTGGTTGGCGCCGGGTTCAAGCTCATGCGGGTGGCTCGGTGTGCTCCGAGGCGCCGCTTGTGCCTCCGGTGGTAAGTCAGGTCATAAAGCCGCCTTTTTCAACGTGAATAGCGTGCAAGAGCGAAACTACGCACCGATTGTGAATCAATGTGTGAACAGAGACAAGGTTCTGTTTTTACTTGAAGGTTTTAGAAGTACTTACTGACAAGATAAAGGAGTACACACTACAGTTCTGAAACATCTATGGTGCATTCTCATCACAAAAAGAAGATTCTGCTGTCCTCTTTTTTAATTATACATTTACAATTGGTATAACACAGGGCACTAATAAAATACCATTCTTATCTTTCAGTTCAAACAGTGGCAGTGGGCAATAAACAGGATTATTAGGTTACTTTGACTAATTTA